GCAGAGCACGATTTAACCGGGACTCCAGCATGTGTCCTTTAACAACACACACGCATTTTAAACGCAACCAGAACCAGCTACTTCTGGTGAGGGTTTAAAGGTAATGGGCCCACCCGGTAACCGGCTGCAATGCGCAGGAATTTGAGCTATAAGCCTCGGATTTATATATTTTCAGTTACACTCCGGCATGTCCTCCTTGCGCTGTAACTATGCAATCAAAGTTTACCGTAAGTACGATGCTTCAGTCGACGGCAATATAGTCAAAACTATGTTCCTATAGTTCCATCCTAAAAATCACGCCTCCTCCAACTCAAAATTCGTGACGCCGCCCTTGCAGATCGAGACAGTGAATCAAGACACGTGTCGCATGAGAGCTGCAGCTGTTTCGAGTCCACCTCCGTCTTTTCTGACCAGTCGCTTGAAAATGCGCCTTCAATGTAATGAAGATATGTTTTTAGATATGCTGATATGAAGATATGCTGCCATAGTGGCAGCATAGTCACGCGTGGTGTTTATGAAAATGGTGTACACTTCACGCAGAAGAAACCTCGACACCTAACAGGTTTTCTGTTATATTTGACTTCAGTAGGTGGTTAACTAGGAATTGGCACATCTTGCTGCAATGCCAAGTCTAATTTTTATACGCTTCTCTCTGAGTTGTTTGTTGGCAGGCCATCCTTGGGCTTTTATATCTAAAAACCCAAGGCTCTCGCTTAATGTCATGCAATAGTCAGATCTGCAACGCGGCTGCAAGCATACGTACCACGCTACCTTCACATTTGTTAGGCCGGTTATTCGATACCTCTTCATTTTTCTTTACGTCCATTTTTATGATCCCTTCGAAATTTCAGCTGGCGATGGAGCCTCAATCATTGCAGGCTAAATGTTGAACGTTGGGTCACTTCCGGTCTAGTGTCCATCCATTCTATTTGCATAGTTCAGTAAATGCCCGAAGATAAGTTGCATTATGCCGTTTAATTCACAAAGAATGTTTCGGAGGAAAGCGGCCCCTCGCGATTGTTCGGATTGAATTGGCCTAGCAGAGTATGGTAGAGAACAAAACATTACAAACTATGACATTTTTCGTCCTCAGTACAATGGTCTATCGGAATTAGCATACGCTATAAAACAGCTCCCGTGATCTCATTTCAAAGCATGAGTGCCAACAGTGCGAGTGCGACAGTGCGGCACCAACAGCGCGAGCTCGCGACACACCGGAGGCTAGCAGCTGGCGATATCACCAGCTGTTGGCCTGCCTGTGATTGGCAGGCAGAGTTGCGGACTGACGCCGTCTGTATTCGCACTGCGTCCTTTTGTCTGTTATCACCGTTGCACCACGGATGGCAATCTGGTAAAAATTGGAAATCTAGAGGACTAACTGCTAGGTGTGGTTTGCGCAAGCCTTATGGTAACCGCAAAGGCACAAGAGCAGAACAGGACAGGGCAGCATAGGACAAGACAGGCTGAAACTAGATCGAACAGACATACTACAAACGGGGAGGGGCGTAGTTCAAATCAGCCTAGGATCAGAATCGAACCTGGGCCATCTAGACACCGACAACGAGAGCAGTGCTAAGCTGGACAGGACGTGCCAGGGCACACCTAGGCAGGACAGACGAGGATAGAGCAAGGTGGGCAAAAGACAGTGCACAGCAGTAACGACAAGAGATAACTAAGCAGAGCAGGGCAGATCGGGCAGGACAGAGCGGGCAGGACAGGGCGGGGCAGGACAGGGCGGGCCAAGGACTGGTAAAAGCGGTGCACAGCAGAGCACAGAAAAGCAGGATGGGCCAAGACAGGACCGAACTGAACAAAACAGGACGAGACGGGAGAGCCAAGGAGAGTATCAGACATAACAGATGGAGTATCAGACAGGGCAAAGGGGGCGCGCAGGGCGGGGTTGGACACGTAAGATTGGGACCAGGCCGAGAGCTGAATAGCTCGAGCCGGTGTGGAAGTGAGTGAATTCAGACTCCTTTCCTATTCCCAGCACTATGTGCGCCAGAACTTAATAGAAGGCAGACCTATGCAGTAAATTATCGTTCACAAGAGTTTCAAATGAGCTAGAGGTTTACACGGATGGAAGGGGTGTTCACACACCCGCCTGTTTCACTGATGTTAAGTGACACAATCCTCCCAAATCCGAATAATTGCTTGTGCGCTTGCTTCAGTAAGGATGGAGCTAAAGCTTAAAAATGCAAAAACAATATCGGCTCTCTTTTTATTTTGTCTTATTCGAATGCGTCTCTGCCTTTATTTCACAATTTTACGACAGACCCAATCCACGGTCGAACGGATTCGCGGTCGTGATCGGTGGGCAGAGATGTCATGCTTGGGGATTGGGACGCATGATCTTCAAACAATAGATGACTTCTGAACTTTAGGTCCAATTAAATGCTGCACATTGGAAAATCCCATAAAGCATTGATTAAATCAGATAATTGCCGCTTGTCTACTCTTGTTGCACTTCCTATTTTCCGTCCATATGCGCGTGTTGAAAACGTCTGTATTCTGTTAAGTAAGGTCCGTAATCTGCTAGGAACTCCACGCAATCTTTTTTTTAAACGAGGACACAATAACCCCACATCATCATGTTTGAAACGGTTACTTCGTATTATTTCATTCCTTGTCTTCTCATGGTTGCTGCGGACTGTTTATAAAAAGTTTAACTTTGTCAAACGTCCTTCTCTTGACACCACAGTTTATGCCCAAAGCCCTACCTTCATAGCATTAACAGTCAGAGGCGGTGCTCATTACCGAACACAACTGAATTGCTTTACTTTTATTCCTCTGAATACGGATTAAGGCGAGTTGCTAAGTGGATTTAGTTGCCGAGTGGGTCGAGCCGATGATTGGGTAGCCTGCTCGCAGCTGTATCAAGTTGCATAACGGAGTGGACGGGGTCCCATGTTCGACTCAAACTGATTGCAAGGTATCGAATTGATGAGCCAGAGGAAATTGAAATCAACCAAAATTGAGGTCAATCAAGATTTGGGCAGAATGTGAATGGCATGCTTCAGTTGAAAACAATGTTTAAACTAATCACGAGTGAATATGATGCTGCATCAGTGACCCTCGCATCATGAGATGCCCGCATGATGCTCAGTCATTCCCAAAACGTATGTCTGCATTAAGGTGTCTTGGTACATCACGATCTGGATGGATTACCCGGACCGATAAAGGTCATTTTGCGGCGAACTCGTATCCTGGCGTGTAGTAGAATCCATTATCTGGCACATTCGTAGTTAAAAGAAACTACACACCCTTTGAAATGAACTGCGCATCGCGCGAACGGACCGTCTCAGAGATAGTCACTGCCAGTGATGCAGCGTACGCGTGCGTGTTCGCAAACCTCATTCCCGAAAGCTGTTCGGCTGGTGGTCGGCCCAGCTCACCGTTTCAGTTGAAATGAATGAATTTGTGCCGATTTTCGCTATCGGAGATTATGACCAGATTGCCACGACAAAATGCAGTTGATGGGATATTAGACAGGGTGAGCTGGTTCAAGCGTCTGTAACGTCTTCATGGCCGACGATGTCCCTGTACGAGCCCTCAGAAGCTCACTCGTGGCCGGCTGTTTTAATGCAACTTTATCAGCTTAATGACCAATCACCGCCGTGCGTATTGGTCGGACAGTACTGGGATTACTCCGTGATCTGCATCCACAGTATCATACGTGGTGCATTCACGCTGGCCGAAACACGGCAAGAACGCAGGTTCTCTCAGCGCCTCACCAGCTGGTCGGCAGATGTTGCATATTCTCAGGGATGTCGGGTTCGAGCCGTGTAGGCTGCCACGGGTGCTGGATAGAGCGGTGCAGATAACTCTACCCAGCCTGGAGCGCTGGTAGACAGACGATGGTAAGTGGCATGCGATCAACGGGCTTCATCTACGCTCAATTACCTCTGCCATTCTTCACGCGCGTCCCCTGTGCTGGCCACCAGAGTACAAAATTGGCAGCCTTCTTTTGATCCAGATCGATTCGTATCCAACCAGGCAGGATCCAGAGTTGTACCAAACAATAAGGCGTCTGCAAGGCGGATCCAATCCGAGTTCAATCAGCCAAAATAAGGTAAAGCCTGGTAGGGTCTGGTGATCAATCTATATGCTGAAAAAGATGCAAATCAAGCGGAAATAATTCAACTGGGCACGAATGTTCAGGGCGCCTGACTTGTATCATTTGCCTTTTAAGACCCAATGCGTGCCAGGGTTTTTGTATTCAAACCTCAGTCACCTATTTGGGGCAAGTTTGTGTTTTTATAGGCTGATTATACTCCTCGTCATTCACTTAATTTGCCATGCTATTGGTTAGATTAAGCATTCTCAAGTGTTCCTGCACCAAACACGCACCGTGTATTCAATGATTTTAGTTACCGGTTAGCTGTAATGAAACATGTTTTACGTTCAGCCCGGTTGTTTTGCACATGTATCTTGCCGGCAGCCGAAATAACTATTTGTTGTGAAATGCTTCATTTCAAACCAAATGTTGACTTGATTTGGCATAGTCTTTAGGTATGCATTTTCAGTGGATTGAAGTGATGAGCTGATTCGAACACCAACCACATTCAGATCCCAAACCGTATATTAGCCATGTCCGTCAGCTCCATCTGCATCCAGTTCGTTAGACTGGAGCGGATTGCAACATGCACCGGATGGACACGGTCCATTTCGTATTCTTTCACCACACGTCTGCACATCACACACATTATCAACGATCACGTCGCACCCATTTGTTATGACAAGACATGAATGACGAAACGCAAGAGGTCGGGACGAATATTGGCGCGGCTGGGCGCGTGACTTTGTTACCTGGATGGAACATGTGCTTCCGCTTGATAGTCGAAGAAGTTCTTTAATCACGTGCGTGCATGTAAGGTTTTGAGGTGGCAAGCCACTTTCCTCTTAGTTTTGATAAAATTAATGATGGCCAGTGGCACGTACTGAGTCAACTAGCACTGCGCTTATCTGGGAAGGCATGCGTCACTTCAGATGCCAGCAGAAACAGTGCATCTTTCTGATATCTTATCTAAAAAAATTAAAAGCAGTTTTAAGCCTTGTGTTGCAACTCAACGCCGTACTACAAAACGTGAGAACTTAAAGTATCACATACTTCCCACGAAGGCCAAGAGCAGTAAAAGACCGCATCGAGGAGCAAAATTACCTCCAGCTGGAGACTAATGGAATATGAGAATCACCGACACGAAATAAAGGACGCAAGGAACATCCAGAACAATCCATACACGACATCCGCCCTTGTCCGAAGCAACCAAGCCCCGTGAAGCAACCAACCACTTCGTGATTTATGTACACTCCGCAGCATGCTGCAATACATCTTATTTGTGTTTGCAGCACGCTAAGCTCGTTGTGTATCTTTTCCTTGTTTTTTTTCGAAGCTAAGCAGAATTGACAATTTCGTCGCACGGCAGTGGAAAGTACGGCTCGGTTTGTGCGGCGGCAAGCGCATTCCTGCGTTCCCGAGGTCATATCTTCATCACACCTTGTGATTTGCAACCTCGGTGAAGCCATCTGGAAGGGGAACTCGCATAGGGCCTGACTCTATCACATCTCGTGCTCCCTAGCATCGGGAGACACCACGAGAAGCTTTTCCAGCAGAGATCCAGACAGGGCCTGGCTCCATTACATCTTGCGCTCCCTGGCATAAGGGAACACCACGAGAAGCTCCTCCAGCGGAGATCCAGACAGGGCCTGACTCCATCACATCTTGCGCTCCCCAGCATCGGGGAACACCGCGGTAAACTCTTCCAGCGGAGATCCAGACAGGGCCTGACTCCATCACATCTTGCGCTCCTGCGCGTCGGGGTACACCTCAGGAAGCCCGTCCAGCGGAGATCCAGACAGGGCCTGACTCCATCACATCTTGTGCTCCCGCCCGTCGGAGAACACCTCAGGAAGCTGGTCCAGTGGACACCCAGACAGGGCCTGACTTCATCACATCTTGTGCTCCCGCGCGTCGGGGAACACCTCGGGAAGCTCCTCCAGCGGAGATCCAGAGACGCTGTCATTGGACACCTGTGACATGTAGGTCTGGGACGCCGGGACGCTGTCCTTGGACTTGCCTTCCCTGGCTGCAGAGAGCACAGAGCACAGCGTTAGAGCGCGACACGCGTGCCGCACCGCTGCCGCCGCCGAACAGCGTGTCCGGGATGAGTACGGGTGAGGGGACTTCTCGTCGCGCCACCAATGAGATTTGCGCTCACGATCCCGCTAACCCGCTCGTCAAATGACGAGAAGGTACATGCTGTTCTAATTCGAGCATCGGTCGCGATTGGAACCATTCTACATCAAACGTGGCACGTCAACATGGTATCATTAGGTGACGTGTTATTCAGGAATGACTTCGCGTGCGCGCAGCGTAGCGGCCAGTCCCCCGACACTAGAGCGGACAAGAGTCTCAGAGTCGATACCGATGGCGTCGGTCCGTCCGTCAACGACACCGCGTCCGGTCGGCAAGGCCCCTCGTGACCAGGGTGGGTCTCGCAAGCCTGCCACGCACTGAACTCCACGGGGGTTCAGAATTTTGGGTGAGTTTCGGAAGTGAGCACGAGTCGGATCGTCGCGACCAACTGGTCTTCAGGAGCTGCAACCTCGGTCAGCGGGCTGGCTCCAGCTGTGCGCTAGGGTTAGGAACGGACGGACAAAGGCTACGGTAACACAGCTTCCGGCTGCGGGACGGATCGCTAGCAGCACGGTTTAATTGTTCCGGTTCCGGACGGCATAAGAGACTAAATACCAGGCACATATGAGATGTGGGGTATTGTCAGATCCAGGATTACTCGATTGAAAATGACAGAACATGACCTGCCTCGTCCAGAGTAACAACACAGCCAGATACTTTCGATTTAGCACCACCTGGCTATCAGCCTATCGTTGCTATGGTTTTTCTAGCAGTGGTGTATCATGCGCGTATTTGGCGAGAAAGCGCAGGCTTCCGGAATGTCGACCCCTGCAGCTGGAAGCAGGCGTCAAGCTACTGTACATGCAAGGTCAGGCCGACACCCGCATAATTCCGAAAAAATGCACGGAATTTGGTGGAGGCGGGCGAAACGTATGAACCTGTAACAAGTGCCCCATGTTTTAGCACTTAGTTTCGAAGCAACTGTTTTACCGGAAAGGAACATTCGAATCCAAGTCCCGTATTTTCAAATTTGTTATAGCTCCCAGAGTTTGCTTTTTCAGAACAGAGAGGGAGTCACCAATCTTGCAACGCTCTTTTTTGAAGCATTTGCACACACTACTGTTGGTAAAAAACATAAAGATGGGTGATTCAGCCTGTCTCAGATGACCTTATAGAACTAAGACAGTCTTATCATCTGTTTTCCTTGGATCCACTCGAGCCAGCCTGTTGTCAGTCACACGCACTACCTTCTACAATGTAAGCACATCGCAGTAAATCAGAGCTTCTCTAGCTTTCCACCATATTTCCTGAGCTGGAGTACGTGGGTTCTATTTCAGGTTGTTAGGTAGCCTGCTGTCTGATCTGCACAGATTTCCTAAAACGTGCCTCACTGAAGCCTCCTGGAGATGCTGTTAAAACGAGTATCCCATTTTTTGTTGGTATTTTTCCCTTATTGTTACATCATACGCGTGCCATTGCAAAAATATTACCAGTTTTCTCGAAATCCTACTGAAAAGCTTAGAATTTATATTTGAAGCAGGCGACCCTGCGGGAGAAATCTCATCTCACAGCATGCTCAGTACTTAGCAAATAGCACATTGTATTTGCTTTGTTTTTCCTCCAAAGTGTATGTTCTGTTATGTTTGAAACACACTAATATGTCGAAATCGTAGCGTCATAAACGCTATGAAAGCTTGAAACACTATTTGGGCAATAAGCTACGTGAACATGAAGCCTTTATCCCGCGAAGTCAACGAAACGTTGCAATACGGCTTTAATTGTTCCCTAAGGCTTTTACCACGGGTTTAAAGGCACACTTTGACTTTGAGTATGGAAGTATCATGTGATCTATGTGACGCATTGGTTCCAATTTTAACCAATCAACTTGTCGGTAACAGGCCGTGGTAAGGTAAAGGTAACTCCCTTTAACTGCACTAGTGCCTTGAAACGCACGGAAGTGCAATTTTCCATCAACTGCTAGTTCCACAAATCAGCAGGATTTTAAGACTTCGTATCCAACAGCTTCAAAGCCACGTATCATGAGCTTGAGGATTTTGTTTAGTCCGTCTTCACAGCAGCAGGGTTCCTTCACAAAGGCATTGAAACGAGCGGCAAATGACCAAACAGGAGTGTGAAGCCGCGAAGGTACAGTGACATGCGTGTGGTCGCGACGGTGTGTTTTAGAATCCCACCCGCCAGTGTGGGACAGCGAAAGTACAGTGACATGCGTGTGGTCGCGACGGTGTGTTTTAGAATCCCACCCGCCAGTGTGGGACAGCGAAAGTACAGTGACATGCGTGTGGTCGCGACGGTGTGTTTTAGAATCCCACCCGCCAGTGTGGGACAGGGAAGGTACAGTGACATGCGTGTGGTCGCGACGGTGTGTTTTAGAATCCCACCCGCCAGTGTGGGACAGCGAAGGTACAGTGACATGCGTGTGGTCGCGACGGTGTGTTTTAGAATCCCACCCGCCAGTGTGGGACAGCGAAAGTACAGTGACATGCGTGTGGTCGCGACGGTGTGTTTTAGAATCCCACCCGCCAGTGTGGGACAGCGAAAGTACAGTGACATGCGTGTGGTCGCGACGGTGTGTTTTAGAATCCCACCCGCCAGTGTGGGACAGGGAAGGTACAGTGACATGCGTGTGGTCGCGACGGTGTGTTTTAGAATCCCACCCGCCAGTGTGGGACAGCGAAGGTACAGTGACATGCGTGTGGTCGCGACGGTGTGTTTTAGAATCCCACCCGCCAGTGTGGGACAGGGAAGGTACAGTGACATGCGTGTGGTCGCGACGGTGTGTTTTAGAATCCCACCCGCCAGTGTGGGACAGCGAAGGTACAGTGACATGCGTGTGGTCGCGACGGTGTGTTTTAGAATCCCACCCGCCAGTGTGGGACAGCGAAGGTGCAGTGGCATGCGTGTGGTCGCGACGGTGTGTTTTAGAATCCCACCCGCCAGTGTGGGACAGCGAAGGTACAGTGGCATGTGTGTGGTCGCGACGGTGTGTTTTAGAATCCCACCCGCCAGTGTGGGACAGGGAAGGTACAGTGACATGCGTGTGGTCGCGACGGTGTGTTTTAGAATCCCACCCGCCAGTGTGGGACAGGGAAGGTACAGTGACATGCGTGTGGTCGCGACGGTGTGTTTTAGAACCCCACCCGCCAGTGTGGGACAGCGAAGGTACAGTGACATGTGTGCGGTCGCGACGGTGTGTTTTAGAATCCCACCCGCCAGTGTGGGACAGCGAAGGTACAGTGGCATGTGTGTGGTCGCGACGGTGTGTTTTAGAATCTCACCCGCCAGTGTGGGACAGCGAAGGTACAGTGGCATATGTGTGGTCGCGACGGTGTGTTTTAGAATCCCACCCGCCAGTGTGGGACAGGGAAGGTACAGTGGCATGCGTGTGGTCGCGACGGTGTGTTTTAGAATCCCACCCGCCAGTGTGGGACAGCGAAGGTACAGTGGCATATGTGTGGTCGCGACGGTGTGTTTTAGAATCCCACCCGCCAGTGTGGGACAGGGAAGGTACAGTGACATGCGTGTGGTCGCGACCGGTGTGTTTTAGAATCTCAACTGCCCGGATCAGAGCGATGGGTCTGACAACGACGGGGTAAGTAATGGTAAGCTACTACGACAACATAAACACCAAAGAAAAAAACAAGCAGCGCCTGAAACAACAGCTTAACTCAGAGGAAAGTAAAAAACGTGTCCTTGGCTGTACGGCAATGAGCACATTAAATCACAACGCAGTGGAAGGGAGCACTACGCAATGGGCAAGCACATCGACAGAAACGCAACGGCGGGTAGCAAAGGCGTATTCCCGCAGGCAGTACATGAAAATATTAGTTCGTCGACTGGAAAGTCCAGCATAGGCACTGGGAAACGCAGACTTGAAGCACGACACGCGGTCACGGATCAGACTGCCGATTCCCCTGAGGTGACCTTCCAACAAGCTCCAGTACGCTGGCGCACCATTTCAGGCCCTTCCGTGACAGCAATCTGGCTCTTAGCATCTGTGTGTGATGATATCGGTCAAGCCGGCCTTGTAAGTAAATTAGCAATAATATCTCCGAATTTTGGGATGTCGGAAAGCGGACTGCTGTACAAGTCTCTTCTGGGACTTTGAGTTCATGAGAACTGCTGTTCCGCTGTCCGTGAAAAGGCTCCACTTTTCAGGCGCCTGAACTAGAGCAAGGCTGCACCAGGCTCGGCTCGGGCCAGACCGGCAATGGAGGGGCCAGGGATCGGCAGTCTGTCAGCCGCGATCAGACCAGAGCGTGGACACCTGCAGATGGCTTCCTCCGGCAGGTGCGGCCGGCTGCGTGTCACGAAGCTCGACCTTCGCAGACAGCCTGAGGGTACCCACTCTGGAAACTGGCACACACAGCGGTGCCGCTCAGTGATGGGTCACCGGTGCTGGGCACGCCCGCGTGCTCTGGACGTTCTTGATGCCAACACAAATCCCTGCGGGTCGCAGCCGGAGTGCTCCGCCCAGCCTGAAGAGCGTGACCAAGCCGAGAAAACGGGGCTGCCCGAGGTAATGGCGTAAGCAGGACTTCTACTCACCGCGCGGTGCTGTGCCAAGTCCTGCTCTTCCATTCAATCCGGCCCTGTGCCATGCATCGCGCCCCAACCATCTCACCTGCTCCGCCCAGCCCGGCCCTCCAACCCAACCCAGCCCGCCCTCCACCCAGCACGGCCCTCCTACCAGCCCGGCCCCTCTAACAGCCCAGCCCTCCTACCAGCCCAGCCCCTCTAACAGCCCGGCCCCTCGAACAGCCCGGCCCTCCTACCAGCCCAGCCCCTCTAACAGCCCAGCCCCTCTAACAGCCCGGCCCCTCGAACAGCCCGGCCCTCCTAACAGCGCAGCCCTCTGGCCAGCTGAGCCGTCCAGCCCGCCCCGCTCCTCCGTCGGGTCCGGCACCACCACACAGCCCGCCTCGCTCGGTCTGTTTTCGTCGCCGCCGACAGGCTGTCGCCGCCGTGATCAGCGGCCGTCCGCAGGGGCTTGGTGTCGGACGCGGCGCCGCGCCGATAGCGCGTGACCTCGCTGGTGATGAGCGATTCTGCAGCGGGTCGCAGTGTCTGGCGCCCAGCCCCGCCCCCTCTCTCTCCCCGCTCGCCGCATCCGACGCCTGACTTAAGTGCAGAGCTACGTGCGCTGGCTGTGCACAGTGCAGAGATACGAGCGCTGGCTTTGCACAGTGCAAAGATTCGAGCGCTGGCTTTGCGCAGTGCAAAGATTCGGGCGCTCGCTTTGCACAGTGCAAATCGTATTGTCGGGGCCGGGCATGGGTGGTGCAGGATGATGGCGGCACGTGGAACGCATTGGGTGGTGGGGTTTTTAATGTGCATTGTCAGCCGGCAGAGGGGCATTGGAGTGGATGTTTGCGTGCCCCCTTCGCGTCCTGATGGTCGGGCCAAAGGGCCCTCATTAGCGGTTGTTCATGTCTGCGACGTCTGTCCTAGTAGGAAGTGTTAACCTCTCCAGAGTCCATGCACCGCGAGATAGGACCCATGTCGGAGGGCCTCTCGGGGATTGTGTGGCCGGTCCCGGCGGCGCCGGACTCACATTGGAGGGAACTGTCGGAGAAGAGGCGCGGACGCCGACAGCAGAGCACCGTCTTGTAGGCCTGTCGGTACTGACGACTCATGATGACGTAGATGATGGGGTTGATGCAGGCTGACAGGTACACCAGGATGTAGCCCAGAATGTGCAGACCTGAAAGTACACTATGTCTTAGCCCAGCATCCGCAGAGCTGGGGGATATTGCGGTGGTTGGCACCACGAAGCCCATACAGCTGAACTCAGAAGACGATCGCCTGCGAGAGGTGTTATTGGCTGATGATAGAACATCTGCCCCGGGATCGGGAACGCTGTGAGGGCACAGAGGCTAGGATCTGCCAGCTGAATTATCAAGTCAGATGACTGAGACATCATGGACTTAAGAAACATGATACGTGGTGATCGAGTGGCATGGTTGCTTTTACTGAAGTTTCGAGATTATATTTCATGTATCTAGCTGACTGCTACTGTACTTTAAAGCGATCCGAAAGGGCGCCTTAACACTTTGGCACCTACTCGGCTCTCACCTGGGAACTTGACGGTGGGGTCCTTCACTTTGGCGATGGTCACCGGCAGGTAGCACACCAGAAAGGTGAGAAAGATCACGAGCGACATCCTGGTAATGCGCATTTCGTTCTTGCGGGCTCGCTCCTCGCGAGACTTCTTCTGCTGGCTGGTCTCCTTCATGCCCGACTTCACGCTGTGCCGGCGCATTCTGCGGTCCGATCTGTGGCGGGGCAGGCATTGCTATTGTCTGCAGCGGGACGCCGGTGGGAAAGGCAGGCAGTGCTATTGTCTGCAGCGGGGCGCCGATGAGAAAGGCAGACAGGGATATCGTCTGCAGCGGGGCGCCGGTGGGAAAGGCAGACAGTGCTATTGTCTGCAGCGGGGTGCCGATGAGAAAGGCAGACAGGGATATTGTGTGCAGCGGAGCGCCGGTGAGAAAGACAGACAGTGCCATCGTCCACGGCGGGGCGCTGGTGGGAAAGGCAGACAGTATTATCGTCCGCAGCGGGGCGCCGATGGGAAAAGCAGACAGTGCTATCGTCTGCAGCGGGGCGCCGATGAGAATGACAAACAGTTCTGGCCCTCAGAGGGTACAGGAAGAAACACATGGTCCCGCGGTCCCAGTGGCGGTACAGCGGACTCGCTCACACATGCTGTTCGGTAGGATGCAATGCGCGGCCCACAAAGCTAGAAAGAAGTTGTTTAAGTGTATAGACCCAAGGACGACTTGATCACTGTCGGTTTACAATAATTCCCTAACGAGCATTCAGAGCAATCTGGATGCTCTTGACAGTCCTCGGCTGACGCCCGCTCACAAAAAAGCAAAAAAGCCTAAGAAGCGAGAAAACGCCAAGAGGTCGGCGGAATAGCTCACAGCACGATGACCAGGAAGATGCCGATGTAGCAGATGATGATGGCGATGCAGGGGATGAGGAAGCCGATCCAGAAGAGGGCGATCTTCGCCGAGTGTCCGTTGACGCGCACGATGGTACAGGTCATTAGCAGCGGATGGTAGCCGAACCGACCTGCGACGACGGCACGCACACGGTGGCAGCCAGGGCTACAGCACCTGACCTCGAAGATCTACTTCAGCAGGCTAATAGCTTAACCACTATGACTCTAAGCCGAAGTGACAGTTCAAATTGTGCAATCAAGAAACGTGGAGCGTTTAACATTGTATCTAATGTCGTAGGGATACGTGTATGTTCCTTTCCTGGAAACACGTATGTAAATGACACAGGGCTCGTAGCTAGTATTTCACTGATCAAACGCCAACCATTTGATTTGTCGCTTTTTTTAGAGAAATGCAAATTTGATTTGTCGCTTGTTTTTCTTCAGAGGAATGATCGTCGAGCGGAAATGGCGGTCTCCAATTTTACAGTTTCACGATCATGCTCTGTCGTGGCAGTGCTACTTGCATTCAATGTGGTTATTCTCTGTTGAACTGCTGAGTTCAGCGAAATACATAGCGATGAAAAGTTTCGTCCTAACAATCGAGCTCGTTGGGTGGTGATGACTTCATCGACATTGTCGATAACCTGGCCTTAAACTGGGCTTGAGTCTGAGTTGAATCGCAGCCGATTGTGACTGAGCCGAATCGCAGTATCGTTATCGCTCAAGGCACATCACATATGCACAACACACCGCCACCAAAAAAAAAATCATTACTGGAACGACAGTCCTGCCGCCTGGTGCGTCATTTGTTGTGGTTGCAGAAGATCAGAGCATCGCAGAGGGTTACAGCTGCAGAAGCAGAAATAGATAAGTTAGGGATGCTTTGTCAGTTTGTTCCCTTTAAGAACAGGAGCTTTCGTTCCTCAGGAAAAGCCGCCTTCATGAAGCAGAGCAATCACCGTGACGAAGGTGGCAAATATCTCAGCAGCCGCTGAAATGAGTTGACCAACCGCTCACATGCCGTACCATTACTGGTTATTAAAACGAAAAATGGTTTGTTAAGTGGCCCACAACAAGAGAAACCCGCCTTCTCACGGACTGATTCATCTGTGAAATAACAGCAATCAAATAGAGCACACGAGTCTGCCTCCGGTCGGTCCTAATGCCATCTGACGGCGCCATGCCGCACTAACAGCCGGCAGCTCCACGCCTGGTAAGGGCATTCACATGAACAAACGGACGCCAGCCGCGAACAGAGGAAGGAGAGAGGAAAGAGATTAAGAAAGAGAGAGAAAGAGAGAGGTGGAGAGGGAGAGAGAGAAAGGGAAAGAGAAGGAGAGAGAAGAGAGAGAAAGAGAGAGGGGAGAGAGAGGGAGAGGGAGAGAGAGAAAAAAAGAGAGAGACAGAGAGAAAGAGAGAGGCGGAGAGAGAGAGATTGAGAGAGAGAGAGAGAAAAAAAGGCAAAGCGGAATCCCTCTCCCTGACCGATTACGATGAAGATAAATTGGGATTTTTGGGCGCGCCGCCTGCAGTAAACCATGCAGTGCCCCATAGCTATCATGTTATGCAGAGCCGCAAATCAAGCATGTGTATAAACAGGAGCCGAGCCGTTTTTGTTTCGGGAATTCACCTTCAAATTCGATGCGGTCTTAGTAGTGATTAGCCACGTGTCTCTCCAGGAAGTCCTGAGTTTTGTCTGGCTGGCACTGTCGTTACACCGTCATGCCACTGTCCCTCGGGCAACAGCACCATTGCCCAATACAAACCACTTTATTTTTTTGTAGGTCAGCGGATAGAAAGCAAACTCGTCCAGTCATCGCCCCGGGCGTGAAACAAAGTAGCCCAGCCACCGACCTGGGCGCGAAACAAACTCATCCAGCCATGGACCTGGGCGCGAAACAAAATACCCCAGCCACCGACCTGGGCGCGGAACAAACTCGTCCAGCCATGGACCTGGGCGCGAAACAAAATACCCCAGCCACCGACCTGGGCGCGAAGCAAACTCGTCCAGCCATGGACCTGGGCGCGGAACAAATACCCCAGCCACCGACCTGGGCGCGAAACAAATTCGTCCAGCCATGGACCTGGGCGCGGAACAAAATACCCCAGCCACCGACCTGGGCCCGAAACAAACTAGTCCAGCCATGGACCTGGGCGCAACACGTCGTCCGTCAGCGTGGCGCTGTTACAGGAAGCAAGTCCCGCTCATCTGGGACACGTGAGCCGCGGCTACACGGCGAGGGCGGTGTCACTTGACACGCGCTCAACAGCGCCGTGGCATTGGTCAACAGAGATCAATATTAGTAATGTTGTAGGCGGCTGGAACTTATCCAGCTCATGTCACAGCTCTGAAACGTTCTGATGAAAACCTTTTCAGACGATTGCACTTTGAAATATACCCCAAACCGTGCTTCGTTATAAGGTTAAATGTGAGACTTTTGCGTCGCATGGCATGGCCGACGATTTCTACGCACAATTCTGATATCTTACGGCATTCGAGGTTTGCATGGCGTTAATTCCATCCATATCACTAGACAGCAGGGGTGACCGAGCCTGTACCCGCTGCAGCTTTTACAAGCAATCTACAGCGCAATCAGTATGTCATTCACGTCTGGTCAGAACAATCAATCCTGACAAACAAAACACCTGACACACCCACAAGGGCGATCACAGCATCCACCAGGGCTGCGACAGCTGCCGTCGTTTGGGGAAGAAGGGGATGTCAGACGAGAGGAACCTACCCCAAGAGCCTGCCAGTGTGGGCGTCAGCATGCCGAAGCTGTAGAGCCAGATGAAGGCGATCTGGACCACCACCCAACGACGTTCGTAGATCTTCTTGTAGAGGTCGTTGAAAGCGATCATCACGAACCTGGTTAGCAGAATGACAAGCATAGATTATTTAAAGAATTAAAAAATATTCAAATAATTTCATGAAGTGTGATTGGGGATCATGCCCTCCAAACGAAAGCTACGTCAAATGCGTTAATGAATCAAGATGTATGGTATATTGCCACTGTCCTGATCGCCTTTCATTTGGGAATAACTCTGGCGAAATCAGGCATTTGCGACCTGGTTTCACACAGTGATGGCACTACCCATGTAAGGCGCATTTTAACAACAGTGACACACGTCGTTTATATCGCCTTATCGTGGCCCATTATTGAAATGACGGCCCTGGGTCCAAGGCAGCTTAGCCTTTGCTTTCATGACTCGGTGGGGCCATATGAATGTTGCATATGCCGGTGGAAAATCATCGGCGTGTGGTGTGGTTTGCAAAGGGCTGTACGATACCATCTCCTGCAGGTTGCACGGCAGTGTTACAAAGCAGGGTCACCTGCAGTTACCTGTTGATCGTTATCTGAAACGAAGGGTCGGGCGTATCACATGAAGCAAATGACTCAGATCTAACTGACGTCGTTAAAATGTTCCGCTTGAATACGCAGCAGCCTTTTCTCCCCTTCGAACGCTGAAGCTACGGATCAGCATCTCAACTCGTCATTTCAGCGAGAATAAAAAGCAACAGTGAAAGGATTATGCATCGCTTCGTTTTTAGACCTTTGCGTAGAACAGAGGAATGTTGATATATATATATATATATATATATATATATATATATATATATATATATATATATATATATATACGTGTGTGTGTGTGTGTGTGTGTGTGTGTGTGTGTGTGTGTGTGTGTGTGGTGTGTGTGTGTGTGTGTGTGTGTGTGTGTGTGTGTTGTGTGTGTGTGTGTGTGTGTGTGTGTGTGTGTGTGTGTGTGTGTGTGTGTGTGTGTGTGTGTGTGTGTGTGTGTGTGTGTGTGTGTGTGTGTGTGTGTGTGTGTGTGTGTGTGTGTGTGTGTGTGTGTGTGTGTGTGTATTATGCGATGAGGGATTGTGGCATGCTACGAAATGCTCAAACAAGCTCAAACAAAACGGCATGCACACCATAGCTGTTGTGCCTTCAATCAACCGGAAATAGCTTTGACATCTTTACCGTATACCCAGTCATGCCCAAGATATCCCACCCTCGGGCAATGGACAACAGCGCAACGCATTTGTTTCATGTCACCAAGTTAGTACTTCATCCAACCATAACCACAACGAACGAAATTTTCCAGAATAACCGAACCCTGTCCCCCTATGCGTCCTGTTGCGTCTGCTGACTGTCCGGTCGCTTAAACCCTGTCTTCACGCGGGGGCTCAGGATCACATTCACCATGGCGATGGAGAGCAGGGAGCAGCCGACGTTCCAGTATCTCAGCAAGGGGAAGAGCACGCAGACGAAGCCCTCGCCCAAGGTCCAGGCGCCGTTGGCGAAGCGGGAGATCTCGAACGGCAGCACCAGCAGACAGAAGGAGAAGTCGGCTATGCACAGACTGGAAGGGGGCAACGGGTGACGTCATCACCAGCAGCCAAAGGGAGAAGTCAGCAACGCGAAAACTGAAGGAGACGGCGGGCAGTGTTGGGACCATTAGGGATGAAGACGGCAGGCACTCGAAATTTGCAGAAGAGCTGCGCAGGGTGTGTTGGTGGATGCTGAGTCACTCTTTTGGCAAACATAGAAAGGAAGGGAGAGGGGGGGGGGAAGGCGAAGCCCCTTATGGAAAAGCACCCTCTAGAAGTTGCAGTCACGCTATTTCACACTTTTCATTGAAACTAGGTCATGCTGGTTGCCGGAGTCAGCCTGGGCCTTGTGCTCAAATCAAGCAAAAATCAGCCGTAACTAACGTTTCTCACGAACTTTTGCTGCCGCGAATTCATTGTTTTTGAACTCGGCTAGAAATTATGAAGCGCTTGTGCACGAACGAACAAGACCAGGCTTAATAAAAAAATCCTTACACGTACTCATATACGGTTACATAGAAGTACTGCATGGATGTTGATTATCAGAAGCTTCGTGGACATATCAATCCTAGGCCCACAAGCTTTTTTCACTTCCGCGCCCTCGAAAATTAGGCAAGCTTGAGCCACGGGAAGAAGACATTGATAAGTTTTTGTTAAGCCGTATTAGATGGAAACGACCGAAATATGGTGAATGTGACCTTTAGCATCCCATAGGTCACAGGGTTAAAATAAGCATTCAACAAATCATCCTGTTATCGAAAGAACTATTAACACTACGACAGTGCGGAAAAAGGTGCTGAACAGGCATTGAAACTGTCTATCAAATGATGCTCATTTGATAGAAGCGATCAATACCAGTCATCGACAGGTGGAATCTATCATATGTCATATCAGGTAAAAGAAGCAATTAATTGGCCCACTTGGCTGTACCAAGAGCTAAACAAGTCGTGTAAGTGAGGAAAACAACGTTAGAAACGTCTTTAAAGCGGCATATGGGCCATTAAGAATCCAGTCGTGCGATGTTTAAGTGTCGAACTGGTCACAAAGGTAAAAGCTGATGGTCCTCGGATAATTTGGCGTCGTAGAAGCAGGCAAAGCGATATTCAGCGTGATGAGCTTAAGAAAGGTAATATTTGTAGTGATTTGCTCTTCTTCACCTTTATAGTGTATTTTCGGTGACAAGTTGTCGTTAATTGTCCTTTTTACCACAGTGCCAGTGTCAAGACTTCGAAAAATGGTCAGAGATCATGAACCATAAAGTTCGGAGACTTAAATTTTCGCAACGTGTGTAAAAATGATGCAAACTCAGCTACTCAAAATGTCAGCGCCGTTCTCAAAATGTGTCACGATATCACGGAAACCCTTAGCGGTCTCTGGTGACTCTTCGTAAGTCGAGGATTAAGTTCTTATATCGCTTAACAGCCAAATTAAGTGGTTAGTCAAGATCTTGTGCGGATTTGACACAATTTGATTGAGATTATCTGAGAAGCTCGTAACCCCAAATGCCATAAAAAATTGAATCCACGCGGAACTATTGATCACCTGAGACAACCGGCTCCCAACAACTATTGGATGCTTCTGTTGGTGAGCCATGGAGATAACATATATGCGGTAAAGCCGTCTACTACAGCGTCAAAAGCAGGTGGAATGCAGGGGTCGAATGATAAAACGAGTGTCTGCGGTAAGCTCAAAGCCCAAAAACTGAACGTGAGCTCAAGCGATTTAGCCCAGCTCCACAGCGCGTCACAGTGTGTCACTCAGTTCAATGAATCATGTGCAACGCGCGATGATGTACGTGCGCTATATCGACAGCTCAGGATGAATCGTCGGGCGGACGGACGGACGGACGGACACAGGGACGGACGGAGGGATGGATGGACGGATGGACACAGGGACGGACGGACGGGCGGATGCAGGGATGGACGGACGGACGGACACAGGGACGGACGGACGGACGGACACAGGGATCGATGGACGCACGGACACAGGGAGGGACGGACGGGCGGACGCAGAGATGGACGGACGGACGGATGGACGGACAGACACAGGGATGGACGGACGTACGGACACAGGGACGGACGGATGAACGGACACAGGGATGGATGGACGCACGGACATAGGGATGGATGGACGAAGGGACATGGGGATGGATGTACAGGCGGACATAGGGATGGATGGACGGACGGTCATATGGATAGACGGACGGACGGACACGGGGATGGACGGATGGACGGGCGCAGGGATGGACGGACGGATGGACGGACGGACGAACAAAGGGATGGGTGGACGGACGGACGTAGGGGTGGACGGACGGACATAGGGATTCACGGACGGACGGACACAGGGATGGGTGGACGAACGGACGTAGGGATGAACGGACGGACATAGGCATTCACGGACGGACGGACACAGGGATGAACGAACGGACGGATACAGGGACGGACGGACGGGCGGTCGCAGGGATGGACGGACGGATGGACGCAGAGATTGGGTAGGTAGCGCAAGAACCATGGCACGTCAATCGAAGGCCTTTGTAAGGAGCATTTTCCCCATCTAATTCCGCAGCTATATACTGACATTGATTTTGTATATTGCACTCTGTCACTGACATCGTACACACTGAAGTCTTCGTGGTGATCAAGCAGTCATTCGTTATCTCTTAAGTTGTCATCCCTCAATCTAAATGTTTGAACGGGCCGATAAACAAAGCAGCGGGGCAATAAACGAACATGACTGTGCATGCCTCCTAGGACTGCCAACAATATTCGCACTACTACCGGTGATGGTGGTGGTGGTGATGATGTGACTTGGAACAAATACGTCATAACACATTTTTATCATATCTTTGTTCAAGTGGTGTGATAGACCGCACTTGTGTCTGCCACGCTCGTCAGGGAAACGATTTAATTTAAGACGACTTCATTTGTTTATTGAGTGATGAAGCGGCTTCTCTAATGGGGGAGGGGGGGATTCAAATACCATAGTCGAACACTGTTCATGACAGGTCGTAACAGGTGTTATGACAGGACGTTGGCATGTTCGGTGAGATCTCTTTGGGCGTTTTGTCTGTGGGCGTTGAGGATCATTTCATTCAAGGATCATTCATCTAGCTCTGTAAGTAATCTAAGCAAGCTCTGTAAGTACTGCAGGCTTTTTAAGTGCTGTTTGCCTATGAGTAGGACTATGCAAGGGTAAAGGTTTTTTGTCTCGTCTACGTTAGAAATGCCACCGGACGTTTTTAATAAGTTTTGGAAAGTTTTGGCAAAAAGAGACCATACATCATATCTGTCCATAAAATGTGATAAAAAATAAAAAATAAAAAGGTGATAAAAAGGTGATTTCTTGGTGATATCCAGCAAACCGCAATTTTATAAAATGATGCATTTTTACAAATATGTTTTTAAATCCCTGCAAGACCGAAAATTGCTGACAAAAGGTGTGTCTAGAAACAAACGCTGAAAATTATTTTTAATTTTTGATAAGTTTTCCGGCATGATCCTTCCTGAGAAGGCCTAGTGTTAATTTACTCAGCACGACTAGGTATATTCAAAGTCGGTTTTTCGTGAAAAAGACAAAAAAAGATACCTCAAACCGGGAGCTCGGGGTGGGTAAACCGCAGCAGTTGGTATAACGAGTGCAGGGATCATACGATCATAGAATCACTTATGATCAAAAGCGTAGCTTGAAACGTCGAGTACTGCCAATAAAGCCAGTGTTTGCTCTAAAACGTCGTTCATCCAGTACCTTCCGGTAAATTGAGGGTCAATAGCTCCACTTAAGCACTCTGAACTCATAATGCTGAAAAGCCAGAAAATGAAGACATTTTTTGTTCATCTCAATTGGGAAACGATGCATGGATCCTGTGCAACACTGCTAACTTTGATAGGTTAAGGCTAATTTGAGGAACATGATTATGGTCTAGCAACAGAGCAGAAATACACGCATACTTGGGATATCTATAAATGATCTTAGTCTTACATATACATACTTGGGTAACATTTAGGCCTCGTATTGTATGCGTAGTTGGAAACCTGGTGATTGGATATGGAGACGCTGTTGGGCAGATCATTACGAAAAGTGACTCACGACGGAAACTCGCATATCGGAATGACGATATGCGAGTAATCATCCACGGCATTGAGCTGAATAACGAGGTATCGGCGATGGAGCTCCCGAGCCGGGGCCAAGCGAGGATGTTGCATTGCTGGAACGCTGATACAACAGCCGCCCGTGAAGGGGCGAATCAGGAGCCACACCCGGGCACTTTCCGCTTCGGTGGACAGTGCCCTGCCGATGCAGGATCGCCCACATGTCCTGTGGCAGCTCCAGGCAATCACTGACCTGCATATGAAGACGGCGGTGACGTTGCGCACCCGCGGACAGCGCAGCAGGGCCACGATGGTGATGGCGTTGCCGAACAGCCCGACGATCATGAATATGGTGATGAGCACGGCGGTCAGCGTCATCAGCGACGGTGAGAACCTGCGGCGACGCAGGCGGAGACTTCAGGCCATGGGTCGGCGGCGGCGGCACATGTTCAGCCGAGCACTAATGGGGAGCGGGGTATGGCGGAGACCCTAGCCCATGGGTCGGCGAAAGCGGGACATGTTCAGCCGGGCGGTGACGGGGAGCGGGGCGTGGTCAGGTGGCGGTGAAGGGAGCGAAGCGTGACCAGGTGTTACCGACAGCCCATCAACTGACAAAGACTGTGATGCTGCTCTCTGTATGGCACGTTGGACCAGGTGTGCGCATGTGCTCTGAATCACTTCGGCTGTGTCATGGTTGGTTGGCTCCTGATCGGGCGGATTAGATTTCATGGCTGAGATCCAAGTCATTTTCTGGACAGATTGCATGAACATTGCGTTCATTTAAGCAATATGGCTTACAGATTTGCATCTAGTTTGCATCGATCTTCTGCCAGTCGAAAGTCTTCCGGGCTGGTAGCTTTCTTTCTGTTCTGCATTCAGAGTTGTCAAGGAAATATCTGAACTGAATGAACGGGGGCGTTTCGATGAGAGAAAAAAGCATGTCAAAATTGTACACTGTAAGAGCATTTTGCTGTATCCTCTGTACCGAAAAATTCGATGCGCTGCACACTCTTTTAACGTGGCTTTCCTGTGCGTCAGCGGCGGGCAGTAAGGCAAGCGGTGGAGACGCGGACGACAGGAAGAAGTTGCGCTGCCGGCATCGTTTGACCTGCTGTTCTCAGCGTGCGCCTCGGTGGGGGCCGCCCGAGTCGGTCCCAGAGAATCCGAAGGTGTGACCTGCGGTTATCGACCGCGCGGCGCTATAGCCTCAGCTGACAGAGGTGTTCTGTGGATTATCCTGTTATGGACAGCTGCAAAAATAGAAACCGTTTCAAGAGGTGTATGAGTGTGCATTGTTGGCGTCATTCTGGTGTTGTTTTTTTCAGAGCGGCAGACTGGTTTCGGTAAAGAAATGCGGCGTGTGTCCCGCAGTGTTTTCAAACATTACTCGGCTGGGATGTCACCGTTCTTGATAGATCCTGACGCTGGAAGGAACGTGGCATAGAAGTTGGAACGGAGCCAGAAGAGAGGAAAATGAGGTCAGCATATTTTTACATCTAGTGCGTCAAAAGCAGATTGTGGTCGATAGCCAAAGCTTCACTGAAAACCTATAAATGCCTAACCCTCTGTTTAGGTTGTCTTACGATCACACATCTTCCTTTCTGTTATGCAGTAAGCTTCCACGCGCAAATTACTTTTAAAGTACTTCAAAAACGGCAAACCTTTTCACGTGTATTTAATCAAATAACGTTTTCCAGTGCAAAAGTTAACGTAGCATTATGCTACAATTTAGCCCATAGTTGTCATATATGTCAAAGGCATTGGTACAAAATAGATGTTAATGGCTACAGGGGGTGGTTCAACATGATTTTTAAATGACGAGCAAGCATATTAGCATGCATTTCATTAGCATATGTTTCATAAGCGTATATTCCAGTAGTATGATTTCGCTTCATAATGATTTTAATCAGCTAAGATTACTAACTCTCAATACAGAATATTACAATTTTTGTTGAACGTTTCTTTCACTTAGTGACTACGAACACACCTATCAAAGTGGTGGTAACAGCCAATCAAAATATTCATTTCATTTCGCCTGACAGTTGGTACAGATAACCATTGTTGGTATCTCAGTGTTACTGCCGGCAGCCGCTGGCGCTATCTCTGCCGTGCTTTATCCTAATTGTAGGCAAACACCCTGCGGCGCTTGCAAATACTGGATATTGTTTATTTCGGCGCCCTCGATAACGACGCGTGATCAATACGCTCATGCCATACCGGCTCGTGCCAATACGCCGCTCCCGCTTCCATGTCCGGATTCCAAGGACGCAGCGGCGATGACGCTTGATGCGAGGGACGTGTGGTCATCGGTGCGCAGGAATTGGTATAGGCGACATGTTGTTTCACTAAAGAAACATTTTTAACGGATGGTATTCCTCATGTCCTCTTATTTCCTCCTATGGCCTTCATCCTCCTCTTTTTTTAAGTTCTAGTGCTCAGTAAATCCAAAGTCGCGTGTTAGGTGGCTCGAATGCCAGCCACCGAGTCCCGAGGTGCCTTCAAATGGTGGCAGGGTTTCGCATATCAGCCCGTCCGACACGTGAAAGTATTTTCCGTCCAATTTTTGCCGGCAGGGTATTGCGTAGCCTCCACTTGTCGGAACTGCTACATGAGCGGGCTGCCCCCTCCACTGACCACTGCAGCCGGCTGTTACCACCGACCGCAGCGTATCTTGCAGAGCGTCGCCGATGACCCCGACATCCTGCTGACCCCCGACCCCCGGCTCACGTCCGGGCCATGGCGCGCCGGTGCGGCGGGAGCTGCGGTGTCGGGGCCGCCCACTGCCCGTCGCTGGGTACGGGAGACGGCGGCGCGCTGGTGTCCGGTGCGCGGTGGCGGGCCAGCCGCCGGCGGTGTCAATCCGGCCGCCGGACACGCGCTGGACCGGCCAGGCATCCGCTGTCCCGCGATGTCGTCACCGCCTCGGTGGAGTATCTCCGCTGACGTCCGGCTGCCGCCGATCGACCCTATCTGGCGCTGAGGTCACGCTGGTGGGCTCATGGCGTGTGGCCGGGCCGTCAACCTCCGGTTAAAAGGACAAGGTCGGAGATCGCGAACTTGCCGGCCTCGCTGTGCTGTGGCGTGGTGAGGGTTAGAACGGTTTTAGACAAGTATGACCGTTCGTGTTTGGGGGCATGACAAGAGCTGGCCGGATGCCGCGGCACCTTAGTCCAGCCACGGACTACAGTGCCTCAAATAATGTGGGCAACTTAGGCTGATCTAATGCAACTCAGTGTTCACTGCTGAACCCTTGTCAGACGCCTGCCTACGCAATTGGCGATGATGTCTACATCAGAGGACAGCGTCATCCTGCTGAGGAACACGCTGCAGGCTGCAGAGCACGCGGGGAATAGAGTGCAACTTGCCTGCGTGCAGCTTGCATGCGAGCTGTAAACTGGCTTACCTTGGTGTGACGTTTAGCAATATACATATATATATATATATATATATATATATATATATATATATATATATATATATATGTATGTATATGTATATATGTATATATATGTATATGTATATGTATATATATATATTTATACATTAGTTACATATATACATATATATATATATGTATATATTACATATATACATATATACATTTATACATTAGTTATACAAACGTTAGAGCTCTAACGTTTTTCAGACCAGTGTCACCCCAATCAAGCTTCCACTGTATCAAAGACCCGTCGTTCCGCAAGCATATGAGTCACCAGGGTCACCAGCAATTGGTCAATTTACGCAGACGTAGGCGTTCCTGACATTTGAAAACCCAAAATATCATCAAAGCAATTGCAGCATCATCGTAGACATAACAACATACGTGTATCGGTAGCGGTTGGCACCTTCACAATGTACAGCAACCGTCAGTCACGCTTATCTGTTGACAGTTAACGTACACTGAGCGCTCTTGGGTAATATCACGACATCAAGAAGCGCGGCAGTAAAGCCGACACCCATCCAGCCCAGACATGCATCGAACAACATCGCTGACAAGCGAAACAGAGTCGCCGGCGGACTGACCGATTCATTTCGTTGTAGTCCGGCCTCGGCTTGGTTGTCGCGGTGGCGTTGAGCTCCAGTGTCATGCTCATGTTCTCCATGGCAGCGGGTGTTCGCCTTCCGCTGATTTCCGCTCACGGTCTGAGGGCCTGCTCACGGCGATCGGCGCTTTGCGGTCGAAGACGATGGACTGCAGCACTCTGAAATAAACCGTGGTTCAATGTTGTGGGTGCCCGTTGTAAGACGTTAAACACGCAGGCTTGAGGCGGAATGACGGGTTCTAGGCCATTATTTCACCGTGCACATCGGTATCTAAATTACACACACGATATTCACGCCGTGTGGTATGTTTTTTCGAATTGCTGATGCTGGCCTTAGTTGTTTCCTTTGAATTACGATGTTTGCGGAATTTGTCTATCTAGTCAGGGCAAGACCCTTTATTCACCGCCACAAGCACACGTTTTAGTTCCAAGGTTCACTGCAGCTTTGCAAAACTGGGTCCGCTTCCACGAATCGTGCCTAAACTGTGAGAAAATTCACAACTTGGGAGGCCTGGCCGGGCTCCATCGACACGCTTTCCAGAAGTTAACATCATTACAGCCTCTGTTCATAGGTTCGTGAGGTGTTTGGAGAGGAGCCAAGCACTCTCAAACTTGTGCCGCATATATGTTGAGACATCCTTACACAAGCTTTCTGATGAGGTGAGCTTTGCCCGCAATTTTGCAATATCACCACGACTCCATTTTATCTGTCGAATGCCGCGAAAAAGGTATACTTCCCAAAGTGCGAGGTAACTGAAAAGCACGTGTCAAAAACGGTTCCAGACAGACGGCTCGAAACAGGCATATGCTGACTGGGGTGAAAATAGAAGATGATATGGACAATAGTGTGGGTTCCTGCGTGCAGATTGCCACGTCCTCCCTCCTGTGCACAAGTTGTGAGTCAACTCGTTTTGGGATGATGATAAAGATCCTTGTCAGATCGCAACAGCCAGAATAGAAGAATACTTTAAACCAATTTCACGATGCAGATTAGTGTGGCGGCTTCGTTTCGCTGGTGAATTGTAAAGCTTCCAGTTTAAAGTCCGCAGTTTTGCCAGTAGTCGACCGAAAAGTGACTAGCGTCATTTTTCCGAAACCGGCCTCGTCTGCGAGACACTTAAGTCTAACTTGTGGAATTGAGGCATCAGAGCTACACGGGCGGTGCGCTGTGCTTATTGTAATCAATATCGGTCAGATTATTTTATCTTTTTGTAACAGTTTGGTCGCAATTTAAAAAATTGTTAACCATTCCAAGGTCACTGACTCCGTTAACAAAGATAATCAAATTTGACGAGGATTATATCAGCAACCTCTCAAGCAAAATATACATAAATTTTCGCATAAACGTCACATCAGTGAGCTTTCGTCTGCAAGGTCTTTATGACAGAAGACTTTCAAACTAATTGACAACAGCCCTGGATGTTGCATCGTTTTCATTAGGTTAGTTTCTCATTAGCTTAGTTTTTGTATCATCTTTATGATAATAACTGACAGATTTGAGATATGGTAAAGCTCCGCTCTTCCCTCAACATACGATGCGTATTGCTGTTTTTTCAGCAATCATATGATGTAAAGTAAGATCCAGTTTGCATCACATTGTGTAAGCACTTCATTGCGGACCTTGCATATGTATATATATATAGAGAGAGAGAGAGAGAGAGAGAGAGAGAGAGAGATAGAGAAGAGAGAGAGAGATAGAGAGAGAGAGAGAGAGAGAGAGAGAGAGAGAGAGAGAGAGAGAGAGAGAGAGAGAGAGAGAGAGAGAGAGAGAGAGAGAGAGAGAGACCAAGATTCGGTGGTGTAACCCACATTTCGATCTTGTCAGTACAACACAACACGCGAAGGTCATTAATCCATACGAATTGGGACTTCTGTTTTTGGGTCCGTTTCACGCTTGCCAGTCAACCTTGAGTCTGTTGGAATGTGATCGACTACTGTCTTGTTATTAAAGCAAACCATGGGTAGCACTCATTTCCTAAAGAAAACTACTGAGGATTCAATTCGAAGAATATTCGAATGTAACGACGCTGCATTGTCTAGTGCTGTTTATAGGTTCGAATGTCTCAGGTTATAAAGTGCACTCGTGTATAATTATTTGCAAATTTAAAGGTCAGGTGCAGAATTGCCAGTTCGCAGCGTCCTTCAGAAAGCTCCTGTGATGGTCGCTAAAGAAAGCACACTCTCTTCAGTGGCATTACAAGCAATAGTGGACAGACGAGGAAGCAGACTGGCGATGACAATCATTGGGCCATACAATTGCGTCCAAGAACTTTCAAGCAAGGGCCGATCATGCCGATACATATATGCATATGATGCTCCCCACAACCCTTCGCCATACCCTTATGACTATAAAGACCTTAAGTTGTCCCGCTGACAAAAGATCTTACGAGTTCCATACTCTAATCGGCATGAGACCTGGGCGGCGCCGGCTCAGCCCAGACGCTAGGGTTATACTGTACCGCAATTCTTCCATGTCATGCGGGGCAGGGAACTGCGGGAGATCGGGGTGGTGGGGGAGAGGGAGGGGGAGCTGCTACAGACAAGCTGATACTCCAGACCACGTCCCCGCCTTCCGGCCCACTCGGATTTAGTCGCGGAAGAGCTGAACGAAGAACCATGACGTCGGGTTCTTTTCACTTCCGAGTTTGGATGAGTATAAGATCGGTTGTTTGTCAGGCATTTTAGTTTTTGCTGCGATATTTTGTGACGTCTGTGCTGGAAAATAAGCCATATTCTGCTCAGAACACACTTTTGTGAGGGGCTGAGGGTGAGATGTACGAATTCGTCAGGAGCCGTCATGGTTTACATGAAATCGCATCGTGCAAGCATGTGCTAAAATGACATCAAATTTATATTTGAAATATACTTCATTAGATCATTTCAATTCATCCATGGATGCGCATCAATATCTAAGATTGTCTCAGATCAGTTTCGATGACCGTGAGGACCTTCAGACTGCTGACTGTAAAAGCTGATGAATATTGGCCACTGACTGTTTACCGTTTCTGACATCCATGAGAAGCTCCAGACGTTGCTAACTGTTGAGGCTTCACAATGGCTGTTTACATGGAATGGCATAACAACCTTTCTTCGGCATCATGTAAGCCACACAAGAGGCAAAACCGCTGGTGCGTTCGAAACACTAGCTATATACGGCCACGGCCAGCAACAAGTCAAACGGCTACGAATAAGGCTTCCTCGATGCCTTAAACCCGGCGACAGTAGGAAATCGCCGTGCAGATTTGGAAAACAAGCATTCGTATAGTGCAGCAGTGACCGGAAGGCAGGGCTGACACCAGCACGGCTACGAGCGAATCTTACGCGGTCTGGACCGTACGCGTGCCACCAACGCAGGGAGCAACGCTCCCGGTAGACGGGACAGCGAGCAGTATCTCGGCAGGGCACGGGTCCGCCCCTCGGGTAGACGGGCAGGGAGCAGTACCTCGGCAGGACACGGGTCCGCCCCTCGGGTAGACGGGCAGGGAGCAGTACCTCGGCAGGGCACGGGTCTGCCCCTCGGGTAGACGGGCAGGGAGCAGTACCTCGGCAGGACACGGGTCCGCCCCTCGGGTAGACGAGACAGGGAGCAGTACCTCGGCAGGGCACGGGTCCGTCTTTCGGGTAGACGGGGCAGGGAGCGGTACCTCGGCAGGGCACGGGTCCGTCTTCGGGTAGACGGGGCGGGAAGCGGTACCTCGGCAACGGGTCCTCTTTCGGGTAGGGGGAGCAGACTCGGCAGGGCAGGGTCGTCTCGGGTAGCGGGGGGGAGACAGCTCGGCAGGACGGGTCCTTAACGGGCAGGAGCACCTCGGCAGGCACGGGTCCGTCTTTCGGTAGGAGGGCAGGGGAGACCTCGCAGGCACGGGTCCGTCTTTGGTAGACGGGGCAGGGAGCAGTACCTCGGCAGGGACACGGGTCCGTCTTTCGGGTAGGAAGGGGGAGGGAGCGGTACATCGCAGTGCATCCGGGTCAGTCTTTAGGGTAGACGAGGGGCAGGGAGCAGGGTACCCTCGGCAAGGCACGGGTCCGTCTTTCGGGTAGACGGGGCAGGGAGCAGTACCTCGGCAAGGCACGGGTCCGCCCCTCGGGTGTACGGCCCTCGGGGCGTAAACAAGGAAGCGGTGCGCCGACTGAGCTGAGGTATATTTCAGGCGTAGAGTGAGTGAGCGCAGCAGACAAGCAAATGCTGCAAGCAGGGCCTAAGACGGCGGCCGAGCTTAGGTGTATTTTAGGCGTGGTGACGGAGCGAAAACAGCCACCGACCGGCCCTACCAAGACCTCAAATGGGAGGCTTCTTCCTTCTCAATGCTTTCCCGCTTTGGGGTAGTTCTTTTAATTTTGAAAATGAATTACGCGCGGGGCGTCACTTGGTACGTATTCTGACGCGCTAAGGCCTCCCCTCTCCAATGCTGACTGAGTCTCCCCCCCCCTCCCAATGCCTTTTTGAGCTCCCTCGCTCAATAAATATGGGAAAAAGGGATGTTCGATCAAGGAAATCTGCTAACCATTTAAATAAGAATATAAGCTGGATGCAAAGGGATGAAGAACAGGCTTTCGTTAGTTAACTGTCTGGTTTTTTAGAAATGTGTTAAATCCTTGGCATCGGAAACACAAAACTAAGTGACTGCAATTCCGGTAAAAATCACATTTTGGAGGTCAAGAAGTCACGTCAACTTTATCGGTCGAGCCTTCTCCTCGACCAATTTTAGGAGGTGGCGCCCAGTTACGCATACACATGCATTACGAGGTTTATGCACCGGCTTTGCAGACACATCGTATTGCTTATGCCATATCCAAGTTCGAAATTGACTCCTAGTCTGTTTATCACGACCAGATCGTTCAGATCACGGACAGTTCACGGTCAGATCACGGTCAGATCACTGTCAGATCGTTCAGATCACGGTCAGATCACTGTCAGATCGTTCAGATCACGGTCAGATCACGGTCAGATCGTTCAGATCACGGTCAGATCACTGTCAGATCGTTCAGATCACGGTCAGATCACTGTCAGATCGTTCAGATCACGGTCAGATCACGGTCAGATCGTTCGGATCACGGTCAGATCACTGTCAGATCGTTCAGATCACGGTCAATCACGGTCGGATCGTTCCAGATGTGTTCAGCTGGCGGGTGTTCCCTCCTGCTGTGACCTGTTGTAA